TCCAATCCTTATAGCTAAAAATTTCTTCATCTAAAATGCAGCTTATTTCCAAACAGTAGCAATACACATTCGATTAAAATCTGAGAAATAATACACTACTCCAATTACCAATTCTAGTATATATTGTACAGGCGTCTCTATTCAGAATAATCTATTTGAAAAAAACTTTGGTTGTGCAATCTCTGGAGGATCAATAGTTAATATTGAATGCTATAATCCTAATTAGTAAAATGCACTTGCAGCTAATGATGACATTTCTAAGATAGTTTAAATCAATAATATGCAGTAAATGTACTACAGGGACTTTGACTATAGAACAATAATCGCATAAAACATTCAGGATTTTCAACATCAAGGTTAGACCTTGATAATGGATCTTTATATGGTATCACTTTAAGGGAATACTTATAATAAAAATTATGCTGGTAACAAAGAAGGTTTGATTACTGGATTTGGGGTAATGAGAATAGAATTTTCTAAAGAAAGATTTATCAATAATGGGGAGAATTCTAATGATCTTATTCCTTTGCTGAATAAGATAGATGACAGCACTTTTAGGCTATTAGAAGAAGATCAATCAACAGCAAATGCATAAGAGTTTAATTACGCATTTTAAGCAACAAACGATTAAGGGTTATCAGCTGATGATCTTGAATAATATCTTCTCAAATCCTAGATATTCTTGTAGAGTGTGAGTTATGTTATTTTAGATGATATTTATTCAGAGGGATTTATTAACCTGCAGGTTCAATACTCTTCTGATAAGGGATAGTTGCTCTACATGGAGTAATTTTATGGAACAATGAACATTATCAATAATACAGTGGCTAATTCAATTGGTATAAACAACAAATACCTAACAGAGAAGCTTAGATTGTTTGATTCATCTGCTGTAACTTGTAAGTTCAACGATAATCATATAATTAAAATATATCATCATCAAGTCTAATAATGTTTTCATAAGTGTATTAACCTAACTAATAGACAAAAAGAAGTATGGAAATCTTCACCCAATATATGCATTAGAAGAAACATGCTTGCTTGGAGGATTGAATATAAATGGTCTCAATATATTT